AAGTTTCTATATATTGATTTAATCTCTTAAACTCCTCCCATTTTCCCATCTCTTGCGAAAGATCTTCATTTTATCTTCGTCTACAGTGAGGAACAGAAGTATTTGAACACCCTGCGATTTTGCAAGTTCTCCCACTTAGAAATCATGGAGGGGTCTGAAATTCACATTGTAGGTGCATTCCCACTCTGAGAGACAGAATTTAAAAAGAAATTCAGGAAATCACATTGTATGATTTTTAAAGAGTTTATTTGTCTTGCACTGCTGAACATAAGTATTTGAACACCTGAGAAAATCAGTGTTAATATTTGATAAAGAAGCTTTTGTTTGCAATTACAGAGGTCAAACGTTTCTAGTAGTTCTTGACCATGTTTGCACACACTGCAACAAGGATTTTGGCCCACTCCTCCACACAGATCTCCTCTAGATCTTTCAGGTTTCAGGGATGTTGCTGAGCAACACGGAGTTTCAGCTCCCTCCAAAGATGTTCTATTGGATTTAGGTCTGGAGACTGGCTAGGTCACTCCAGAACCTTGATATGCTTCTTACGAAGCCACTCCTTGGTTATCCTGGCTGTGTGCTTCGGGTCGTTGTCATGTTGGAAGACCCAGCCATGACCCATCTTCAATGCTCTGACTGAGGGAAGGAAGTTGTTGCTCAAAATCTCACAATAAATGGCCCCATTCATCCTCTCCTTAATACAGTGCAGTCGTCCTGTCCCCTTCGCAGAAAAGCACCCCCAAAGCATGATGTTACCACCCCCATGCTTCACAGTAGGGATGGTGTTCTTGGGATGCAACTCATCCTTCTTTTTCCTCCAAACACGACGAATGAAGTTTAGACCAAAAAATTCTTCTTTGGTCTCATCTGACCACATGACTTTCTCCCATGCCTCTTCTGGATCATCCAGATGGTCATTGGCAAACTTCAGACGGGCCTGGACATGTGATGACTTGAGCAGAGGAACCTTCTGTGCAATGCATGATTTGAAACCATGACGGCGTAGTGTTCTACCAACAGTGACCTTTGAAACTGTGGTCCCAGCTCTCTTCATGTCATTGACCAGCTCCTCCCTTGTAGTTCTCTGGGCTGATTGCTCACCTTTCTTATCATCAGTGAGGTGAGATCTTGCATGGAGCCCCAGTCCGAGGGAGACTGACAGTCGTCTTTAGCCTCTTCCATTTTCTAACAATTGCTCCAACAGTTGATCTATTTTCACCAAGCTGCTTGGCGATTGCCCCATAGCCCTTTCCAGTCTTGTGGAGGTCCACAATTTTGTCTCTGGTGTCTTTTGACAGCTCTTTGGTCTTGCCCATGGTAGTAGTTGGCGTCTGACTGACTGTGGGGTGGACAGGTGTCTTTAAAGAGCTCAGACAGGTGCTACTAAGTTAGATTAATGAGTGGAGTAGAGGTGGACTTTTTAAAGGCACAGTTACAGGTCTTTGAGAGACAGAATTCTTGCTGTTTCTTAGGTGTTAAAATACTTATGTTCAGCAGTACAAGACAAATACATTCTTTAAAAATCATACAATGTGATTTCCTGATTTTTTTTTTATTCTGTCTCTCAGAGTGGGAATGCACCTACAATGTGAATTTCAGACTCCTCCATGATTTCTAAGTGGGAAAACTTACAAAATCGCAGGGTGTTCAAATACTTCTGTTCCTCACTGTATATGATAAAGTTCCTCTATCCTATATACATGATCCACCCTTCTTATCCAGTCTTTTATTTTAGGTGCTTCTTGTTCCTTCCAAAAATTGGGTATCAGACCTTTTGCTGCATTTAAATAATACAGTAAACCTGAATTTTTGTATTTTTTTGTAACATTTTTTTATCTTTATTTAGAAGGTTTATATTCAAGATCTCCGTTTTAGTTGGATTAATTTTTAAGTTTGACATTTCCCCATATTCCTTCAGTGTTTTCATTAGGTTTAGCAATGTTATCCTAGGATTAACCACATAGAACAGCATGTCATCCGCATATGCTGCCACTTTATGTTCTGTCTCTCCTATTTTAATTCCTTTTATATCTGTTTTTCCTAGGAACAAGACAAATAGCAATGGTGACAATGGGCATCCTTGTCTTGTCCCATTATGCATCCTAAAGTACTCTGATAATTCTCCATTGACCATTATTGCTGCCGAGGGTTGACTATATAATTTCTTTATCCATTCTCTCATTCTTGAACCTATCCCCAAGACTTCTAATGTATCTAACATATATCCCCAATCTAATCTATCAAAAGCTTTTTTAGGATCGACCGAGAGTGACAACACGGGAATTTTTCCTTTCCTTCATTTTTGTATAAGAAGTAGAGATCTTAGTCCATTATCTCTACCCCCCTCCCAGGGACAAAGCCCACCTGATCCAAATGGATCAATTCTGGCATTAGGTCTTTTAACCTGTTTGCCAGAACTTTTGCATATAGTTTAGTATCTATATTCAATAGGGATATCGGTCTATAACTGGAGCACTGAGTATCATCTTTTCCTTCTTTATGTATTATTACAACATGAGCTTGCAAGGATTCAACCCTCATTTCCATCTCTCCTCCCAAAGCATTCATGTATATCCTCAGTTTAGGTATTAATTGATCTTTATATTTCTTATAATATCTCACCGTAAACCCATCTGGTCCTGGAAGTTTCCTTGCTGTAGTACTCTTCAGTGCTAGATAAATTTCTTCCTGCGTTATTTCCTCTTCAAGGGATTTTAATTGTTCTTCCTTAATTTCGGTAACCTCACCTTTTTTAAATATGCCTGCCTTTTTTTTTCCTTTCTTCTTCTTCCTGTATGGATCCATGGGGAATTATGTTATATAATTTGTTGTAATATTCTTTAAATACTTTTGCTATATCTTTAGTTGAATGCCTTAATTCTCCATTACTGTTTCTTATTTTCTCTATATAGTCCTAGATTTTTTTTTTTTTTTTTGAGCTCTCATTAGGTATTTTCCTCGCCTATCTCCCCATCTATATCTCTCACTTATTATTTTATTAAACACTCTCCTCTTTTCTTCCTCCATATAATTATTTAGTTCTTCTCTTTTTTTTATTTCACTCTGTTTAATTTCTTTTGATACTCTATTTTTTATGTTTCAGTTCTAATTCATGTAATTCTCTAAGAAGCGTGTTTATTTTTTCTCTTCTCTTTTTTTTTTCTCTTCATCCCTATCGCTATTAGAATTCCTCTAATATAGGCCTTATGAGCTTGTTCACCAGAGCCTCTGATGGTGGGGATGGGCTTGGAGCAGACAGTGACCAGGTCGTGGCACCTGAGTACACCTGTTAGGAATGGACTGGCCAGCAATGGTGGGACTCTCCTGCCTTTTGATCTGCAGTACCAGGGCTGGCCAGCGGGTGCTCCCAGCAATCAGAGACTCAACCTTTCAGCCAGCTAACACCTGGAACTGATGATACTGGGGTATTTAAGGGATGCCAGACTTGCAGACTCTGCCTTGGTGTTGTGTTTGTCCTGGGCCCTGTATCTGTCCTGCATCCTGTTTCTGTTCCTTTGCTGACCCTGATCTGAACTGCTGCTGACTTCTCCTGCTCTGATCCTGGCTTGTGACCCTGACCACCCCTCTGTCTGACCCTCTGTACCTCGCTGCTTGCTACCTGCTGAAACCTGGCCTGTGACCCCGACCATTCTCCGCTTGCTCCCCCCGTACCTACCTGCCCAATTGATATTGACCCGGCCTGCCTGACGACGCTTGCTTGTATGTACTGTTATCTGTGGGTGGTTGGTTTGGTTTGTTTGCACTGTATTATGTTTAGTATTGCCCTGCGTTTATGTTTGTATGGTTAGTGTTAATAAATTATATTGTTTATCACATTTCTGAAGTCTGCGTTTCCCTGCATCAGTCACACATCTCTGGTCATACCTGGGAGCCCTGACATTACACCAAGGCCAATCCTGACCAGAAGTGGCTGCACAGGGAAGCCATCTTGGCTTGTTGATGGGAAGGATGGATCTTGATGAGGTTGAGTATTTATATCTGCTAGTGTTTGATGACAGGGAGTATGCTTATCAAACTCTGAAGGAGTATACCCGGGATGAATTGCTAGAATGTATACGGCTCGCTCATGTTCTAGTAGATCAGGGCACAGTGTTCTCTGAGGTGCAGCCATTGATTGAGGTTTGTGCAGAGTTGGTTTCATCTGGTTCCCCCGAATGCAGGGATGAATTTTTGCCACCATTTAGTGCAGACCAGGTAGAGTCCCTGGTGTGGTTATTAGAGGATGATGTGGGTTACCTTTTGGAGCGTTACTCCACATGTTCACCACAGACACTAAGAGATTGTATCAACGCAGTGCAGTCATTGACCAGACAGACTTTGTGTAAGCTCAGCTTTGTTCAACCCCTACTGCAGACATGGACAGATTTGTTGCACCCAGCCTCAGTCAGCTTACAAAGACCCAGTCCTGCTTCTAACTCTACTCCTGTATTCCCACCAGCTCCTCCTGCCCTGCTATCTACCGCATGTCAGTACCCTGTTCCCACTCGCTGCACCTATCCTGCCTTTAACCCTGTAAAAGAGCCCTCTGTAGCAACTGCTCCCTCTCCTGTTCCATCCTCCAGTTTTTCTCTGTCTCCAGCTGCTCCATTCGTTTGCAGACCTGCGTTTACTTGCAGTGCTCCAGTAGTTAAAACCAGAAAAAAGCGAAAATTCTTTCCAACCAATACCATCCTGCCAGTATCCAAACCGGTGAGCCTGCCTTCCGTGACTCGGCCTGAAGCCTCTACTCAGCCTGAAGCCTCTACTCGGCCTGATGCCTCTCTTCAGCCGGATGCCTCTCTTCAGCCGGATGCCTCTCTTCAGCCGGATGCCTCTCTTCAGCCGGATGCCTCTCTTCAGCCGGATGCCTCTCTTCAGCCTGAAGCCTCTCTTCAGCCTGAAGCCTCTCCTCAGCCTGAAGCCTCTCCTCAGCCTGATGCCTGCATTCAGCCTGATGCCGCTACTCAGCATGATGAACTGATCCAGCCCGACGATCCTATTAGGCCAGTTGACTCGATGCCCGCTGTTGATCCAGATGATCCGGTACCTGATCCAGTGCCCGCTGTTGTGCCAATTGACTCAGAGCCCGCTGTCATACCTGGTGACCCGGTGCCCACTGCCTTGCCAGATGACGCGGTGCCCGCTGGCAAGCCAAATGACCTGATGCCTGGTGACCCAGTGCCCGCTGTCATACCTGGTGACCCGATGCGCGCTGTCGAGCCAGACGATCCAATGCCTGGTGACCCGGTGCCCACTGCCTTGCCAGATGACGCGGTGCCCGCTGACAAGCCAAATGACCTGATGCCTGGTGACCCAGTGCCCGCTGTTCAGTCAGACGATCCAATGTCTGACCAGTGCCCGCGGTCATACCAGTTGACTCGGAGCCCACTGCCTTGCCGGATGACGCGGTGCCCGCTGTCAAGCCAAATGACCTGATGCCTGGTGACCCAGTGCCCGCTGTCCAGTCAGACGATCCAATGTCTGACCCAGTGCCCGCGGTCATACCAGTTGACTTGGAGCCCACTGCCTTGCCAGATGACGCGGTGCCCGCTGTCGAGCCAAATGACCTGATGCCTGGTGACCCGATGCCCGCTGTCCAGCCAGACCGTACAATGTCTGACCCAGTGCCTGCGGTCATACCAGTTGACTCGGAGCCCACTGCCTTGCCAGATGACGCGGTGCCGCGCGGTCGAGCCAAATGACCTGATGCCTGGTGACCCGAGCCCGCTGTCCGGTCAGACGATCCAATGTCTGACCCAGTGCCCGCGGTCATACCAGTTGACTCGGAGCCCACTGCCTTGCCAGATGACGCGGTGCCCGCTGTCGAGCCAAATGACCTGATGCCTGGTGACCCGATGCCCGCTGTCCAGCCAGACCATACAATGTCTGACCCAGTGCCTGCGGTCATACCAGTTGACTCGGAGCCCACTGTCGTGCCTGGTGACTCGGTGCCCGCCGCTCCGCCTGGGGCCCGAGACCTGTTGCTCCGCTCGGGGGTCCAGCGCCCGCCGCTCCGCCTGAGGGCCCGAGACCTGTCGCTCCATCTGGGGGTCCGGCGCCCGCCGCTCCGCCTGAGGGCCCGAGACCTGTCGCTCCTCCTGGGGGTCCGGCGCCCGCCGCTCCGCCTGGGGATCCGGCGCCCGCCGCCCCGCCTGGGGGCCCGAGACCTGTCGCTCCGCCTGAGGGCCCGAGACCTGTCGCTCCACCTGGGGGTCCGGCGCCCGCCGCTCCGCCTGAGGGCCCGAGACCTGTCGCTCCGCCTGGGGGTCCGGCGCCCGCCGCTCCGCCTGAGGGCCCGAGACCTGCCGCGCCCGCCCTGAGGCCCCGAGACCTGTCGCTCCTCCTGGGGGTCCGGCGCCCGCCACTCTCCGCCTGAGGGCCCGAGACCTGTCGCTCCGCCTGGGGGTCCGGCGCCCGCCACTCCGCCTGAGGGTCCGGCGCCCGCCGCTCCGCCTGGGGGCACGATGCCTGTCGCCCCGCCTGGGGGCACGATGCCTGTCACCCCCCCCGCCCGGGGGCCCGGTGCCTGCTGCTCCGCCCGGGGGCCCGGTGCCTGCTGCTCCGCCCGGGGGCCCGGTGCCTGCTGCTCCGCCCGGGGGCCCGGTGCCTGCTGCCCAGCCCGGGGGCCCGGTGCCTGCTGCCCCGCCCGGGGGCCCGGTGCCTGCTGCTCCGCCCGGGGGCCCGGTGCCTGCTGCTCCGCCCGGGGGCCGGTGCCTGCTGCTCCGCCCGGGGGCCCGGTGCCTGCTGCCCAGCCCGGGGGCCCGGTGCCTGCTGCCCCGCCCGGGGGCCCGGTGCCTGCTGCCCCGCCCGGGGGCCCGGTGCCTGCTGCCCCGCCCGGGGGCCCGGTGCCTGCTGCCCCGCCCGGGGGCCCGGTGCCTGCTGCCCCGCCCGGGGGCCCGGTGCCTGCTGCTCCGCCCGGGGGCCCGGTGCCTGCTGCTCCGCCTGGTGGCCCGCTGCCTGCTGCTTCGCCTGGTAATCCGATGTGCCTCTGCCCAGAGTCCTGCCCGATGTGCCTCTGCCCGGAATCCTGCCCGATGTGCCTCTGCCCGGAGTCCTGCCCGATGTGCCTCTGCCCGGAGTCCTGCCCGATGTGCCTCTGCCCGTGTGCCTCTGCCCGGAGTCCTGCCCGATGTGCCTCTGCCCGATGTGCCTCTGCCCGGAGTCCTGCCCGATGTGCCTCTGCCCGGTGTGCCTCTCTGCCCGGAGTGCCTCTGCTCGGTGTGCCGCTGCCCGGAGTCCAGCCCGGTGTGCCGCTGCCCGGAGTCCTGCCCGGTGTGCCAGTCTTTGCTATCCCGCCAGTTGCCAGACCCGGGCGGTGGAACATTTTGCCCAGCTAGGACTGTTTGGAGCGTCCTGAGGCCGCTCCTTGAGGGGGGGGTACTGTTAGGAATGGACTGGCCAGCAATGGTGGGACTCACCTGCCCTTTGATCTGCAGTACCAGGGCTGGCCAGCGGGTGCTCCCAGCAATCAGAGACTCAACCTTTCAGCCAGCTAACACCTGGAACTGATGATACTGGGGTATTTAAGGGATGGCCAGACTTGCAGACTCTGCCTTGGTGTTGTGTTTGTCCTGGGCCCTGTATCTGTCCTGCATCCTGTTTCTGTTCCTTTGCTGACCCTGATCTGAACTGCTGCTGACTTCTCCTGCTCTGATCCTGGCTTGTGACCCTGACCACCCCTCTGTCTGACCCTCTGTACCTCGCTGCTTGCTACCTGCTGAACCTGGCCTGTGACCCCGACCATTCTCCGCTTGCTCCCCCCGTACCTACCTGCCCAATTGATATTGACCCGGCCTGCCTGACGACGCTTGCTTGTATGTACTGTTATCTGTGGGTGGTTGGTTTGGTTTGTTTGCACTGTATTATGTTTAGTATTGCCCTGCGTTTATGTTTGTATGGTTAGTGTTAATAAATTATATTGTTTATCACATTTCTGAAGTCTGCGTTTCCCTGCATCAGTCACACATCTCTGGTCATACCTGGGAGCCCTGACAACACCCACCTGAGGTAGAGGAATCACCGGAGGTAATGACAGGTGGAGAGCCTTGTGTGAAGAGGCAGACAGGTCTGGAGAATAGCAGCTAATCCGTGTGGGTCGGATGGATGACTGAGCAATAGCGTGGTCAGACGAGCCGGGTCTGTAATGGGCGGACAGCGTGGTACAAGACAGCAGGCACAGAGGAATCAGATCACTCGCCGGCTCTGGTAACAGAAGTTCAGATCAGAAGTGATATCCAGAAGAGTAGTCAAACGAGCCAGAGGGTCAGGGCGGAGAATATCAGCAAGGTCAGGTTCAAGCAAAGGTCAGCAACAGTCAGGAATCAACTCACAGATCACAGGAGCAAGATCAGACCATATGGCAACTTGGGTCTGTGCAGGGCTGGTTTAGGTAGCCTGTCCTGTGCCTGACAGGTGCAGCCTAGGTCCTAGTGCCTGCCCAGCGCTGTCATAGGTAACGGGTGTGCCTGGATCCTAGTGCCCTGCTGCCTGCATGTCTTGACAGACACCTACGCATGTGCAGACCCATGTGTCGCGATGGTCCCTGACATTGCCCCCCCATGGGCATCCTCCGGGTGCCCAACTGATCTCTCCTCCGTGGGTGGCTACGATGGAATTCTCGGACAAGTCTAGGGGCGTGAACATTTTGAGCCAGCTCAGAGGAATTTTCCTCAGGGCCGTAGCCCTTCCATTTTATCAGGAACTGTGTCTGGCCGCCCCTCTTCCTGCAATCCAAGATTGATTCTACCTCAAATTCCTCCTGTTCGTTGATGGTTATGGCTTCCGGGGGTTTGAATCTTCGATCAGGGAAAGGATCCGGTACTGCTGGCTTTAGTAGCGAGACATGAAACACTAGGTGAATCTTCCAGGTCCCTGGTAACGAAAGTTCATATGCCACCTCGTTAATCTTTCGTTTGACCTGAAATGGACCCATAAACTTGGGCCCCAAATTTCCTTTAAGGACAAGACAATTTTAAGTTGGTTGTTGCCAGCCAGACCTGATCCCCTGGTTTCAAGATCAGTTCCCCTCTTCTTTTCTTGTCAAAAGCCCTCTTACTGTCTTCTTGGGCCTTCATGATTGCTTCTTGACGCACCTTGTTATTGGCAGAAAAAAAACTCAGCATATCCTGCGTGGCAGGAACTGAACCTTCAGGAATCAGGTCGGGCAAGAATGTGGGGTGGAACCCATAATTCGCAGAGAATAGGGATTGCCCCGTCGCGGAGTGATTCGCGTTGTTTTACGCGAATTCGGCCAATGGCAAGAGCGTCAACCAATCGTCCTGTAGGAAGGATGTATATAACATCTCAAGTACTGTTCAACTGTCTGACTTGTCCTCTCTGTCTGCCCATTGGTCTGTGGGTGGTAGGCAGACAAAAATGATAGTTGAATACCCAAAGTCTTGCATAACGCCTTCCAAAACTTCAAGGTAAACTGGACCCCACGGTCAGAAACGATGTCTTCTGGAATCCCGTGAAGCCTTACTATTTCCTTCATGTAAATCTTCACTGTTTCCAGGGCCGAGGGCATGCCCCTCAGTGGCAAGAAATGTGCCATTTTTGATAGACGATCAAAAACCATGAAAATCGCTGAATGGTTTTGAGAAGGGGGAAGCTCCACTATGAAATCCATAGATATCATCTGCCACGGCCGACTCGGTATAGGTAAAGGTCGTAGTAAACCCCAGGCCTTGCTTCTGGTGGGCCTGTTCCTCTGACAGATGGCGCAAGACTTCACATACTGGTCACAATCTTCGACCATGCTCGGCCACCAGAAGGTGCGCTGGAGCAACTCTAGGGTCAAGGTGATTCCAAAATGGCCCGCTAATGGGTGATCATGACAATATCCTAGAACTGAAGTTCAGACTTCCTTGGGTACCACAACTCGCCCTTCCTTCCAAAGGAAACCCTCCTTGTTCTGTAGAGAATCCCCAGGTGGGCTTGCCATTTCCACGGTTGCAGACTGAAGCCTAGAGCGGAGCTCCGTTTGCAGGGCAAGAAAGTTCCCAGTGGACAGAATTGTGTCGGGTTTAGTGGTTTCTTCTGGATCCTCAGACATTCAGGAGAGGGCGTCCGGTTTGGTGTTCTTGGACCCAGGCCTATACGTGATGTGGAACACGAATCGGGAAAAGAAAAGTGCCCATCTAGCTTGGCGTGGTCTCAGGCGTTTGGCTGTCCTCAAGTATTCTAAACTCGTGTGGTCCGTAAAGATTAGGATTGGATGTGTGGCCCCCTCCAGCAGATACCTCCGTTCCTCTAGTGCCGTTTTAATAGCCAAGAGTTCCCGGTCGCCGATATCGTAATTTCTTTCGGCGGATGTAAGTTTCCTAGAAAAGAATGCCACTGGGTGCATGAGCTCCTTGGTCCCTTTCCTCTGGGACAGGATGGCCCCTACTGCGTTCTCAGACGCATCGACCTCTAGGATGTAGGGAAGCGAGGAATCTGGATGACTCAGAATGGGGGCCGTAGTAAACAGTTTCTTCAGGGTCTCAAATGCGGACTGTGCCTCAGACGTCCACCGAAAACGTACCCCTTGTTTGGAAAGCTGGGTGATGGGGGACACAAGGCCTGAGAAGTTCCTGATAAATTTCTGATAGAAATTCGCAAACCCAATGAAGCGTTGTACGCCCTTTTTGTCCCTGTGCACCGGCCATTCAAGAATTGCCGAAACTCTTTGAGGATCCATCGCAACTCCCGTGGTGGAGATAATCAGCCCCAGAAATGCAATACTTTGCTGCTCAAAACTGCATTTGTCCGCCTTAGCGTACAACCCATGTTGGCGTAGACGCTCCAACACACTTCTAACATGACCCCTATGGGACTCCAGGGAAGGCAAGAAAATTAGAATATCGTCTAAGTAGACGACAACAAAAATGTCCAGGTAGTTTCTAAACATGTCATTGATGAAGTGCTGGAACGTGGCTGGGGCATTACAAAGTCCGAAGGGCATAACGAGGTACTCGAAGTGCCCAAATCGAGTACGAAACGCGGTCTTCCACTCATCCCCCTCTCTTATGCGGACCAGGTTATACACGCCCCTCAAGTCTAACTTAGTAAACAGTACCGCTGACTTTAATCTCTGGAAAAGCTCTGGGACCAAAGGGAGGGGATAGCGGTTCTTAACCGTAATTTTATTTAAGTCCCGGTAGTCTATGCATGGTCTTAAGGACTTGTCTTTCTTCTCCACGAAAAAGATTCCAGCACCGGCTGGCGAAGTGGAGGGCCGAATGTACCCCTTCTGTAGGTTTTCATCTATGTACTCCTTGAGTACCCCCAGTTCCCATTCTGATAGAGGGGAATATCCGTCCAAACAGAATCTCAGATCCGGGAAGAAGGTCAATGGGGCAGTCATAGGAGAAGAATGTCTACTCCCCGCTTACTAAAGACATCTAAGAAGTCATGATAGGCCGGGGGAATAATTTGGACTAACTCGGCGTCTCCATCTAAACATAGAAGGGGCTTGAGAGCCGAGGAAGTTGGGGCGTGACAGTGTTCCTAGCAGTAAGGTGACCGGAACTGGATGGTCCAGGTTTTCCAATCAATCTGGGGGTTGTGGGCCCGCAGCAACGGAAGTCCCAGAATGATTGGAAATAATGGGGACGCAATGGCGTCCAGTCGGAGAAACTCCTGATGATGATTGGTCACTGTGGTGCAAATAGGCAGGGTTTGCCGGTCTACTACCCCTGACTTAAT